CTGAGTGTCACTGCACTGTTTATGAATATACCTTGAAAGCTTCATGCACAAAATTTTTGTGTAATTCTTTACTGAAAAACTTACAGTCTGTGTTTCAGCTTCTTGAATTCCATGCTAACTGGCTAAACACATATCATAGCCACACAGCATTTGGTATGTTTGTTTGAGTCTCTGATGGGTGGCCTTAGAGTAATTCCACCCTAAATCTGATGTTATCCATTAAAAAACTGAAACATATTGCTCTGTAATAATAAATAATATAAGCCTTTTTGAAATTTTTAACACTTCAAACTATCGTCATAACATCACTGTTGTGGTCAGTTCAGTCTCTGCGCCCGCTCTGCTTCCACTCTGCCACAGACACACATGTCTAGGCAGTACTAGACAACGAATTTACATCACAATATGCAGAGCAGTCAACCAATGTTACTGCACCCCATCGGCGACACCTTCCTTGTACTGCGCTGAACAAATATGAGAAGCAGACTGAAAGAATGCAGTCACAGGTTAACAAGCTGCTGTCACTCTCCTGCTTAATGTTAGATAAGATTAGCAGTGTGAAAAAACTGCCACAGCAAATCTCTGGAAAAACATGGCAACCAAATGTTTTTCTCCTTTGTTTCACTCATTTATACCAGAAATCACCACTGCTGCCTTTGGCATGCACAGACTTTGAGGTAGACAGGGGCTGAGGTCTTTCAAAAGGGCATTTTGTGGGGGCACTTCTGAATAAGTTCATATTAAGATTTTTTCAGTAGTTTTCTTCATTTCTTTGTTAAAGTTTCATTTTCTGGCTGGGTCAGATTTTGATTCAATGTAAGACAACTGATAATGGAGGGAATTTGGTTAACTGGAAATAACTATGGTCATCGTGATGAAGCTGAAGTTCTTCTTCGCCACACTACATTGCTTTTATAATGTGAACGCTTTGTTATGACATATATTTATTTCCAAATCAGAATATCATGCCTCACAGCCTTGCATGTTATGAAATTTTAGCTAATGTTTCTGCATGTTTTTAAGTTGGTGCTGATGCTGCTGCATGATGGACACTGAAAGTGGCAGGCAAAAACAGTTTGGGTATGAGTCTGATCAAGCTGCTGTTTCAAAGCCATTTTATACAATTACTGATGCAACAAACCTGTACTTACAGGATAATTATAAATTTTAGACAGCAATATAAACTAATAAGCATTTAAAGATCATCCTTTGGGTCAAAAGGAGCAGGGGCTCAATCCCATCAAAACGTAAACAAACCATGGATGTCTCAGCTAACAGCTCAAGACTTTAACAGAAAATTGCAAGTATGTCTTCTGTGAAAATCCTTTTTTAAGATTTGTGTAAAATATAAATGTAATATCGGAAGCTTGCAGCATATAATGCAACATGTTTTATCCAGTAGAATGCAAGAAACCCTTCTGAACCACGACTATACTTTGGATGAATAGGCTGTAGGCTGGACTTTCAACATACTTTAGTTCATGGTCATACTTTAAAAATAGTCTAAAACAGGGATGAACTTTTTGAAATTTCATGAAGAATGGAACAAAAAAACAGCCCAAAACGACTTGGAAAAAAGTCTGGTTCCATTGACTTACATTAAAAGTAAAGTAGGTTTTTTCCTTCTCCTGTAAAGTTATCATTTTAGAGATACAAGGTTTTCTTCCAAAAACAGCCATATACAATATGCAATATTTAACTAAAGAAGGTAAATAGGTTTAAAATGGAGATTTTACAAATGCATTATATAACATTACACAATATTTTGTTACTAAAATACTTTTTAATACATTTTAAAGGAAAAAAAAAATTATACATAGTACAAAAACATGTTTGTTCTTTTATTGGGTGAGGGTTAGGTTAACTTCCTCAAACGTCCTTACAGGCCAACATTGACCCACAGGCTACACTTTGGTCTGTGCTGGTATAACTGTCGCACCTCCGGGTCTTCTCCCTGCCTCCATCGGCACCAAATACTACAATTCCCATGATTCTCTGGACTCTCACACCATAGACTTGACCCATCACGAACCACTTCCTAGATCCACATCACATGATTACTGAACTGTTGTCACCCGTGCCCTGTTACTTCTCCTTGTATAAATACCTGTCTGTCTTTACTGTTCTTTGCCAACCTCACCCATTGCGTACTGCGTGTTAATTTCTTTGTCAGATCAGTTTATGACCTCTTTCTCGTTTCTCATTTCGTGTCTTTGGATTCCCCTTTTTGATATTGTTTGTCTTGGACTGATTGCTGTTTTGGCTTTTACCTATGCATGTATTTGAACCTCTCTTTTCAGTTAGCGCTCTTGTTTGTATTTCTACTCGTCGCTGTTCTGAATTGGTCTGGCTTTGGCACTCCTTTTGTTAAGCCATTCATTGTTGATAAATACTCTTTGAACTTTTACATCCTAAAGCGTCTGGTTAGTAGGACTAATGTTACAATAACACAACTTTCCCTATAAAAACAATTGCCTAGGTTTCGAAATCTGGCGCATTTCTACCCCTAACTAGAGACTCTGAATAAGCACATTTGCAGAGTCAGAAAGGTGACCAAGTTCATATGATTACTCTTTATGCACACTAAAGTTAGATCTGCATTGCCTCATTTTAAAAGTGCTGCACTAGTGATTTGTGTTTGGGGTGATAAAAAGGACAATGACAATTATGCTGGCGTGTTACCAAGCATGGTTCTGCATGTTTGTGTCTACGAGCACCTTTAATCACACACAACTCTGTCCTAAAGAGACTAAAGAGACCAAAGAGTGTCCTCATTTCCCATCCTGCTGACCACTCCACTGACAGCATGGCTTAACATCTCTCTGAGTGACACACACGCACACACACACACACACACACACACACACACACACACACACACACACACAGACAGACAGACACACATCAGCTCAGATTACTCTGAGTGTCTGGCCCATCCTCTGCAGGAAAAATTTCAAAGCACACTCCTCCACACACTGCCTTAGTTGAACTCTACTATAATCGCTCTCCTGAAAATTCTCACTGCTTCATCTGAATAGATGCTTGTAGCATTTCTAGTGTATCTCTAGTGTATCCACACCAAGTTATTCTCTGCGGTGTGTTGCATAATAAGCAGACTGGGGCGCAAGGAGGATGTGGTTCTGCTGTAAAATGTTGGTAGACCCATGCATACTCATGTTAAGGTCACTCCTGGAGAAGCTGGATGTGTCAGTGTCCACATTATAATATTTCCAACATTTATGCTATATTGCAATGCAACAGGTGCAGTTGCTTTTTAGCTTAGGTGGCATCACTTCAATTGCGGCAAAGAAGCCATAATACTGTAATTGCTTTTTGCAGTGGCATTATTGTTTGCCAGCTACATAAATGCATGTGTTTTTACTCTACAGAATTAATGCCCTCACTATAATGTGATTCTGTTGAGAGTTCTATCTGTTGGAGTTATGTAGTACCCCACTGTCCCTCTTTCAGGCATTAATCAGAAGTAGTAGTAGTAATAGTAACAGATTATGTGCAACATCGTTACATAAGCCGGTATGGTACTCCATTACAGAAAAAAATAGTAATCAGATTACAGGTGCGTTAAGAAATGTGGTAGTTACTAGCAGCATTACATTAAAACCACTCTTACGCACCAAACATGATTTTTGAGATGGTGAAAGTTCTGCATTTTATTCGGCCTGTTTGATTTTGGTGAAATTTCACAGGCAACATGACACAGCAACAGCCAAGCTGACGAGATGATTGCATCTCAGCAACCTGTTAAAAATCTCAAAAGATTTGTCCTTCGTCACACATGGTGTAACTTTCCAAATGCAGTTCACAGTGAACTATGGACATCAGAGCTGTTTGCAAACCTCTCTCAGCTTCCGAACAAGGGGGTAAATTCTCCAACCAATGGTTCCAAAATTAAATGTAGCCCACTTTTTTGTGAGGAGCAAAGGACAGCTTCGCCATTGAAAATATGTTGCAATTTGTTAGTTATTTTTTATCTTCAGTCCATGACTGACACACCGAAAAAAAAGAAAAAAGGTAAGTAATCAGATTACATTATTTTAATAAAGTATTATTTTGGATTAGGCCACACATTTTTAACAGGTAATTAGTTATATGTACGGTAATGTGTTTTTAAAGTAAATCTCCCAACCCTGGTGCTAATATATTAATTAGTATCTTAATTACATTAATTAGCATTTTAGTATATTAGCTGTTACTTGGGCAAAATGATAGCTCATCATTACTGTGATACTTTATGGCAAAATATGCTTTTCTGAGTATATCATAGCTATCAGTACTCCTAGAACACTGAATAAACTGCATCATAAAAAAACAGACTGATAATAGAAAGCCTGTACAACAAAAAGTGTGTAGTAACTACTAGACTCAGTCCACGATTCAATTCAATTCTCAATGTTGGGATCAAAACTCGCTATTCTAGCAACACTTTGTACAAATATGTAATGAAAAAATATGACTATAATCATGTTGGACTACTTATTAATGACACTAGAACTGTTAGGCTGGAGGAGTGCTTGTGTGGGTTGCTGATTGGTGCTGACTGTTTATCAACTTTGTGTTCAAACAACTGGATTGTCAGATCTCCATGATGCACACTGTCATAGTTTTGCAGTGCGACATTACAATGTCATGATGCACTGTTACACTTCAGTAACTGTACAAACTGCATAGAAACAATCAGCTGATTGGATGTCGGCCCATTATACTATAACATTTTATTCATTTATTTTTACCAATTGATGTTTTCCCCTCCTGCTCCTTTTTAAATAGTCAAAGAAGTTATCTTTGTAAAATAATAAGGTCCTACTGTTTCACTGGTGCATTTTGTCCTTTCCTGCTTGTTTGCAAAACTTCAAAAAAGCTAGATAGCTAGCTGTAATACATATGAATATAAATAGTGAAATGCCTTTCACTATTGTGATGTTATTTTGTTTTGTAGTGCCCTCTTGGTGCTGCCCTAAAAAAAATTTCTTTGCATGTACCTTTTGAAGTGGCTGAGCAGGGTGCCCACCAGTTCTCCTATGCGGCTCTCCCCTGCCGGCACCATGCCCTGCAGGCACACGATCAGGTCTCGGTTGTCCTTTGTGTGGAAGACGACCAGCTGGTCTTTCCCCGGGGACACGCTCACCCCGGTCACCTGGGAGAAGGAGAGCACAGAGAGAGAGAGAGAGAGAGGCTGAAAACAGAGCAGACATACATATACACAAGCACATATACAGCAGCTCAGCCTTGCCTAATGAGCTCTGCCCTTATTAATGTAAATCTCAGACTTAATAATGATTCCATTTGACTATAATTCCTAAAGAAACAATGAAATACCTCATGAAATCTCGAATGTTACCACAACGAATCAGAATCGTTTCTAAAAACATACTTATTCTGGCCAAAAAAAAAAAGGGCATATCGCACTGGAATATAATAGTAATCAATTCTAACTTTAACATTCCACCTTTTTATTGATGCAACACAACATATAGTGCATTCTTTCTCCCCAGAGTACTGTCACTGAAACACACCCTAAAAAACTTCAAAAAATATTCTTAACATCTGTTAACTTGAAATATGAATAGTTTGCTGAAAAATCTAATTTACTCGACTTTCCACTTCCCCAAATGCTGTCGATCATCTGAAACATTTTTAGTGTGCGAATTTTGCTTCTTTAGTTTAGAACTGGAGCTGATAGGCTAATAGCTGTTGCTAACAATTAGCATTAATAACCCAAACTATTTCCACAAATACCTTCATATATTTGCTTGAAACTAGTCGATTAGACACTTAATTCATAAAAAAAAAGATTTCGTAAAATGGCATGGCTAAACTTATTTACACATTCTAAAATTGCATTAGCATCCACATATTTTCCCATTTTCCTGTATTATTACGTCTTCAAACTCTGTGAAGCTGGAGCTCATGAGCGTGTTGTAAAATGTCACTACATAGTTAGGTAGTATTAGCACAATAATAGCTAAGGCTTACATACTGTAACGGAGTTAAAAGCTGCACATACAATAACAATGAACCTATGAAAAATAGATGTCACGCTCCGTTGTGCAAAAACAGAACAAAGAAATCTATGGGTAGTCTAGTATGTTACCATCAGTTTTCTGCTGATACCGACACATGCGAACTGTGGCTTTTAGCAACGAACCACAAACTATCATGTACTGAATGTGTTTTGAACGGGTTTGGAGACGTTTCGGGCATGTATTTACAGAAACAGTTTGGAAGAAGATTGACTTCCAGTGTTTTGTTAGCATCATTAGTCTTACAGCTCCAACTCTAAATGAAAGAAGTATAATCTGGACACAAAACATGTCTTGGCTGATCGACTGCATTTGGGGTAAGTGGAAAATTGTGTAATGTATCATGTAAAAGGTAATCCTTTAAGTTTTATTTTTCACTATTCAAATTGGTCCATTCTTTATGAAATGTTCATACAATTAAAAAATTCCAGCTGGGGTTTTTTCAAATAGTGTTAAAAAAATAGGGTTAAAAGGAATTACTCATGTGGGACATCACACAAGCCCTCCATAAGAACATATCAGGATCTTCACACACACTCGCTTGTTACAGTGAACAAGCTGCTGTACTGCCATATCCTAAATCAACAAAATGTTTTATTGTGCAAATCAGCAAATGGATGACAAAAAGGCTAAAAAAAGGCTTAAAAAGGCCCATTTCTGAGATTCACATTCTGAAGCTGCAAGTTAATTTTTTGTGTAGCAAAAATACCATCAGCTATTAATCCATGCTAGTAAGAAGTGATATGCTTTTTGTTAACTCAGGGAAACTGGTGGTTCAGAAAAATACACCATCAGGTGAACTCTATGAACAGTCATAGAGTTCATAGTACAGCTGGCATAGAGTTCATAGTACAGCTGGCAACAACAAAAGCATGGTGTAATTCCATATTTCTCACTTGTAGCTCACTGAAACAAGCATGGACATTCCGTTGGATGTGCAGATTCTTATCTTTCAAACCATACCACAGTTGTGTTCATAAGTAGCAGAGGAGATATTATGATTATGATTTCTTTTTGATAAAAAGTTGTGCTCTCAGCCTCTGACACAGCGTAACACTAAAATAAATGTAAAAAAGTTGGAAGTGCTATCAGTTCAGAATGTAAATTGAATGTAAATGTACGAAGCTTCATAACTCACTATGTAGGCTAATTAAATATGAAATTAGGTAACCCACAATTACTACTGTTAGGAAACTACACCACACATTACTAGCTGCCCCAAGCTCCAACAGAACAATGCTAGGCAAAGATGTTCATGTATGTGTGCAGGAGACAGCTGCTGTGGCCAAATTGGAACCCAAAGGTGACAGTCATTATGGGCCATGGTGCATGTTCCGGATATGGCAAGCCTGGTAATTCAGAGTGAAAGTTATGAGGAAGTGAGCAATGAGCAGGAGGACTGCTAAGCAGACTGGACTATTCTGGTCTAGCACTGGCAGTAAATCGCCATGGTAATAGGGATCAGCCACCCTCACTCTCCTTCTCTGGTCTATTCTTGAGGGACTGTGTTACATAACCGCTGACTCCCTCTGTTTGTGTGTGTCTGTGAGTTTATGATCAAGAAGGCTCAGCATATCTGCCCACATAAAAATTCTTATTCTACCTCTACTGCTTTAACAACATGATCTATGATCGTTTTTATATAAGACTCATAAACAGTGTGATGTCAGAGAATGTACCGGCTAGTGAATTTGAGTTATGCTCAAAATTTGCTAAAACTGTCGTATATTTTCATATAAATTGTGTGTTATATAAACCTATGGAATTCTCTGACATCAAACTGTTTCCAATTTGTCTATGTAAAAAGACACGTTTGATGTAAAATAATAATAAAATATCTATATTCATTCTTATGTAAAAGACACCTGCAGATGAAAAAGAAAAATACAAAGAGAGGGAAGAAAGACAAAGACAAAGAAAAGATAAAGAAGGCACAGCGAAGCATGAGCAGAAGGAGCACACAGAGGAGGCAGATTTGTGCACATGCCTGAACGATACCAGACATCAGCTGATCTCTCCTCCCGCCCCGTCGCCATGACAACCCCATCTCCTGGGATGTTGGCATGACAACAGCGGAGAGAGGAGAAAAGATGGAAAGGGAGGACCATAGTTGAGGAGCAGGGTGGAATGTTTTTGCAGGGGGCGGATTATCAAGATTTTTTTTTAAATATCCCTCTGCCTTTTTCCAGGACATGCTTAATGCTCAGCCATTTAATAATACAATACGAACGCTGGGATGGAAAGGCTTTAGCTGACAGATAAAAGGTTGTTACTGTGATGGTATGACTGGAAAGAGGCCCATTCCTGAATGGAGTAATAAATAAACATGGGTTTAGCTGGGCAAGGGCTGTTCCTTATTCAGGAATCATTACATTTTCTTCTCTTGCCACTAACCTTTAATTAGCAAACTGCTAAGAAAGGCAAGATTCAGCAGCATACTCTCTCTACATGTTATCATGCTAAAACACAGGCTGATGTATTAAAAACAACACGCAGTGAATGTCATTAAGGACAACATTTAACATTAAGCACAATGTTAAACCAATGTGCTATCCTACAAGCAGTACCTTCAGATTTGTTTCATAAAAATGTGTTCTAATTATACAGTTGACAGAAATAGGTCATATAAGTGTGCTGGTCAATGAAGAATGCTTTCATGGAAAACTGATTATTCCTCTTTTTTTCTTTTCATAAATAAGCTTGATTTACTATGTAAACATAAAGGTTCAAATCTTACTATTAACTCCCCAGTCAATATAGTCCATATATGGAAACTAAGCCACAAAAAAACAGCTTGTTATGAATTCCTTGTTTTCATAATATCACGAAATTCAATGCATTCACACATACCCACCTATTTAGCCCCAGCCCTTTACACTTACAGTTATAAAGAGTGTTTCAGCCTGGACTGCTTTCTGAATGAGGCACAATACAGATTCAATTAGAACAGAGCTCACTTACATATTTCACTCTTAAAGGCACAGTGACAAAAACAAAGTGTGTCTAAGGGATGAAGAAGGATCAAGAGGTTGGAAAATAGTCATGTAAAAATAGTCATGTGAAAATAACTGTTTTTACATAAAACCACACAAATGTTGTTAGTGGACCTCTATAAAAATTAGAAAAATGTAGGATATGAGCTGTTTAACACTGCTTGTGTCATCACTATTTTAACATGTTTTAAGTCTGACTACAAGAATGCATTGTATCTCTGGCACATTTTGCGTAATTAAACATATCTCTATCTCAAAAATCGGAACATAACACATTGGTTTGTATTAAAAGTAACATCCAAAAAACACACTGTCCTTAACAGGTCATGCTATGTGTTGTTTTTAATAATCTGTTGTGAAAATGTGCAATCAAATCAAATTATTCTGAATCTGTAATCACTGGAAAATTTTAGTATGCCTGATTAGTTTTGTAATTACTGAAAAGTATTTGTGTGCCTAGTTCTTTGTGCTGAATATAAAATAGAGAACCACTTTGCACTTGTAGTTATAAATTTTTTTCCTGCTTAGCTACCAATCCCACTCTGACAGATATTCTTGCAAGACTTCTCTAGAGGACAGAAGGTCGACTACACAGCCTGTAGACATTCTCCCTTTGTGCTGTGAACTGGAGCCAAGCCCCCCTTTCCCTCAGCCCAGCATTTCAGACCTCTGCTAGCAACATGGCCTCGGGCCCACTGCACAGACAGACCACAGATGGATCAGGATTGCAGGTTACAGTCCTCTCCACTTCTTACCTGCTTCAGCAGAGGATAACGCACTGTCTGGGGCTGACTGATTTTTTTTTACATTTTTTTTAAGGACATGTATTTAAACTTTTATGCTTATATATATTTATATAAAACAAAACATAACATAGATATACATATTGTGTGTGTGCGCATGTAGTAATGAGTATTTTAAATACAAGGAAAAAGAGACTGGTACTAAATACATACATTATAGAGTGGAATGCTCTTCATTGGCTTGTACTGTTTCAGTGGGTCCATCTTATAGAGGTGGCGATCAGTAATCAGCACCGCCCGGTTCTCTGCCTTATTGAAGCGGTTGATCTGTAGAAGGAATATTAACAGTAATAAAAACTATACTAAAACTGAGGATAACAACAAATCTGAAAAAAGCATTTACACACCTAAAGCAAGGGGTTCAGTTCCCTGTTTGGGTAAGCACACTAAGCTATACCAATAAGCGTGCTTGGGCAAGACTTCCAACGCCGCATCTGCCTACCTCTGTAACATAATTAACTCACTCTGTATAAGAATGTCTGCCAAACGTATTAATATAAACGCAAAATTGAAAATATCTTGCACACCAAATGTGATGTTTTGGACAGTGAAAATACTTTTTTATTTGCCCTCTGTTCAACAACTAAGGCAGGCCAAGAACCTTTTGAGAAACATCAAAAAGGTTAGTTTGTCTGGTTCTAGCATCTCCAAACCAAACTCACACTTGTGGATATCTGAGGTATATTCAAAAGTTTAATCTCCTGAATGAGGTGGTAAAAATGTAGATTTTCCAAAATGAAAACTGTCATACCTAATGTCAACATTTTGTTTTGTGTAGGGTAAAAGATTTCTTTTTGCACATGGAGACAGTTTATTTGTTTACTGACAGTACAAACCATAAAATGAAATTGAAAAGAAAAAATAAATAATTTCTCACTGGTGTGTATAGTTGTGATGAGAGAGATATTTAACATTTTCTTTTTGTTTATTTGCACCATCTTTGTTGTGTAACACCCTTAAAATGCATAAAAGTATATGAGATTTGAACGGATCTCATGTTTCATGGGAATGTATTTTATACCTTGCGGACATTGCAGGAGAAGAGGACTCTCATGAACTTATCCTTCCTCTGCAGATCACTGGACACCAAAGTGAAGGACGATGCTGTCTCAGGACTGTCCCTCTTCTGAGGACAAATACACATTCATAGTATACAGCAAAGAAAATATAAAGACAAACAGTCCTGCTGAATCTAATTTTCTGCAAACGTATAGTATTCCAGCTGGTGCAATTCGATACTCCATTTGCTCTGTTCTTTTTTTGTTTTTCCTTGATATATTGGTATTGCTTCTCAATACTGACCAGGTAATTGCCCTCCCAGGCTCTCTGCAGGCCGAGGTCCGCCCTCTGACCCTTCAGGCACTCCAGCGTGGCTACTTTAGCCCTGACCTGTAACATTTCCTCTGGGGACAGGCCTTTAATTAGGGTCCAGGCCCACCACCTACAACACCATTACATACACATACACATCCATTAGATGCATGTTATAGCAGTACATGGCTGTCTGCAACGGTGTCACAATAAATTGCTTTGATCTGATTTTCCATCAAAGGTTTATGAAAAGGTAAACCATGGGTTTATGAGAGAATATACACCTTTGACATTTGTAGTCTGCGAATCCTGTTACGTATTCAATGACCATGTAAGAGAAACAGGCCTGAGGCAAATTTCCCCAGAACAACAGTAATGACTAACATGGAGGCTGATATGTGACATCACCGAAAGCCTGAATGAGTCAAGTTAACACCAGGCCAGACCTTGTAAAGGAAAACATGCGTCACAGAGCTGTCCAGATACCCATTAGCACAGCCTTCACTAATGTAGGAGTTATCTGTGAATGAGAAGCTGTTAACTCCTATTTAACGTCAGAGATCTGATACCCTTTCATCCCACTAAGAACACACGCATGTGTATGTGTGTGAGAAAGGAGATGGAGTGAGACAGGCATTGTTTCCTGCAGCTCTAACCTGTTGTAGATGTTCCTCAGTGCCTCCTCAAACCTGCGCAGGACCTTGGGAGGTGTTGGCCACTTCACATGTTTGCCATGGTCCTTCATGCTGCGTACGTTTTTGAAGCGCCGGTTCACCTCACGGATGTAGGATTTGACCTTGTAGCGCCGGTATGCCCGCAGAATGATCAGTGCAGCCCGCATCCGGCGGTAACGCATCCTAGCAATCGTGCCACGCCACACCTGTAGGAGTGTGAAAAAAGGAAAGAGCTAGTGTTTAAAAAAATGCATATAACTGATAAATAATCCATGACAATAATGTGGCATTTTCCTGCAAATTTTACTGCAGTTTTTTATTAGCTGAGTTTAGCACATTGGGACAAAACGAACAAACAAAACAAACAAACAATAATGAAAATAACAACAATAAATATTAATCAAATTCTCAATATGTCAATATGATAAACAGAAACTGTGCATGAATATTAGCAGAAAAAGTGTGCTGCCTGTAGAAGATGTGTTAAGCTATTTTCACATAGAAAATCAACAAAACATGGGCCGTTAAACTTTTGTGTACGACTGTATATATAGTCAATTGTGATTAGTTGCTTTTGCATTATTTGCTCTAATTGTCAAATCTGCTCTAATTTAACCCCATAAAAAGTCCATAAAAAAGCAGTGTGTTTTCTTACGGCTAAATGAGAGGACAAAAAAGCCTAATCAGAATGTATTTATTACCTTCAATAAGTCAATAACATTATTCTCATCATGTGAATGTGGGGTTCACATGAAAAGGAGGTGAATGTAGTTTCCAATTTTCATCAGTGATATTGAGCAAGAGTATGCATGTTTAAACTCCCCCTCGATTGTAGCCTTTTCACTCTTTTACTGTTACATTATGTCTTGTTTTGAAGGGAACGGCAGCCTCAACTTTGCTATTGTCTTAGTTATTTTGCTTCTCATTGATTAATTCATAGTCTTCCCATGAACACTTTCCAGCGCAGTCTTCCAAATTACAGCAGCGTGTTTTGCAAATTATTTCCGTAAATGACATTTCAGACTTGACATACTTCTGTGATAAACAAATTCACCATAACAGTAGCTGGAAGTAGTTACATTGATCAAAAGAGCCATCAACTATATGGAGCAACAGTCTAGAACTATGGATGGTTCAAAGTATAAAAATCAGTATGATAATTTATCATTTACTGTATTATTAACATGTTAACCTTGACATTATTAAAATAAATTAATTAATATATATATATATATATATATATATATATATATATATATATATATATATAAAGAGAGAATGCAGGATCTAAGATTGTTGTTTTAACGTTGGCTGATGAAATTAGAGATATTGTAATATCCCATTACAACAATGTATACTATACTATATTACAATATTATACATTACTTCAGTATCATTAGTTTCTAGCTACAAGAATAGAACTAGGGCTAAACATACTACACACTATTTAGTTTGTATATAAGGGCCTAGTTATCATTAGTTGGTCCAACTATAATTTTCTAAATTCAGCTGAACATTGATGCTTTAACATGACAAAGACAAAATTCAGATGTCATCAATAAACAATCTGCCATGAAAAAGGAGGGTAATTTGCACTGACTTTGCATTTCATTGGAAAATTGTCCAATGTGCACACTTCTATTTTCATTATTATTATTATCGTTTTTTTAAACAATGTATTATGGTCAATGACTGCATTTATCTAGTTTCAGCATTTGCCGAGTGAGGGGCGGCTGTAACTGTCTCACTGAAAGGGAGCTATGTATGCTAGCTTTATGTTGCACTTGAAAATTAAAACAAAACACTCAGCATTTAATGTTTATTGGTCAAGTTATCTAAGCAAAGAGCATAATGCTAGCAGTTAGTTCTTATATTTCATACTTTTATCTTCTTTGTTCTATCTATGTAGTTTCACCAACACATATACCTGTCTTGGGGGAGGTGTAAATATTTAGTAACTGCTAAGCTCAACATAACATGTTTGTGTGGTACAACCTGGTTTTGTTTATTAATATGGAAACCTGAACTCAGTCAATATAGCAAAATACTACATATTTGCATACTACACATTTTACAGAGGGCTAGTAACTATAGTAATACACACATTTGTGATAAGTGTGTACTCTTCATTAGTTAAAAAATAAAAAAGCACCCTGATCTGTGACACCCAAAGTGCAGCTCAAAGGGTGTAATTCCTGTCTTAGACATTAATAATAGAAGATAATGGATCTCCAGGGAACTGTTTGAACTGCACAGTTCTCAGTAAAGCTAGGGCCATATGTTCCCTTCACTTTACACTGACTCACGCAGTGGCTGGGTGGAAATTGGTTTATGTCTGGTAAATACTACAATGCAGTCAATATGTGCTTATGTGTGTTTCAGGACATAGATGTCATGCTCTTCTCTGCACACCTGGCTAAAGACATTAGGATGTGTTTACACATTTCTTACTCTGTATGACAAGTAAATATTCATATCTGATCGCGCATGATGGGTTAGTCATTGATAAACCCTGCATCAACATGTGCTCCACATGCTGAGCCTGGCCATCCATGATGAGCTTAAAATTCTTCTCTCTCCAACTTTTTGTTGATGTATAACAACAAAAAACGGGGTTTCCATATGTGACTATGTTTGGATTCAAATATTTGAGCAACACTCATGCACAACTGACCAAGCATACATTTTGGAATACATTTTAACCTATCAAACATGACATGTCTGCTGTTAGAAGGGTTACGACACATGCATGTCCATGCAGGCCAAAGTTTGTGTGCAATATGTTTTCTATCAATACATAAAAGAAACATGATGCTGCCTTTTTATAGCACTGCAATATTTTTCAAGCTAGCGCGTCAACACATTCAGCGTGCATTTTGATCAGCAAAGTGCTTATTATTAATTCATTTAATCAGAGTTAGTACAAGGTGACAAGTGCAATCTAACAGAGGTATATTCCTCTTAGTTTACGGTATCAAGCAAAGAAATTCTGTCAAAAGCATGGACTCTAAACTGTCAGACAATACCATGTTTGTGTCAGTAAGTAGAAGAGGAGGCATTTTATAATAATTTGCATTTAATTAACTGTTGTGTGTACAGTCTTGTTCTATGGAAAGAAAAAAAAAACATCCTTCACATTTTTGCCATGATGTTCTAACTTACTAACATATTCCTGTAACAATTCCTTCACATATCAAGGCTGAGTAATTATGCTATTAATGGTAAAGAGTACATTAAACATTGAAAATGGTCACTTTTTTGCATTGATCTGAAAGGGTTGATACCAGGTATCCATTCACAGTGTCTTAGAAGTAACTACAGAGCTTTCTCCATGGTTCACAATGATCTGATCACTGAAGGTGTGCTGTGTTTTGGTCAACTCCTGTGCTGTGTTTACATTACCTTACACCAGTACAATGGCTGCATACAGCAACCCAAACAATGGGTGGCATGCTGACAGAGTCACCAGCAAAACTGATTAATAAACAGAGGACAGCTTTAGCAGTGTCAGTTGTTTAAGGTTGGAAAAGGGCAGGAGAATGCCCTGTATTTTTAATATCTTTTATGTGGGTGAGCCTGAAAATCAATAAGATGTTTTGTGTCCATGGCTTCCAATAAGATCAACATTCACTTTATTCCACCACCACGGTTGACAACAAAAGCTGGGAAAATTGAACTCTTGATGGACCATTCTGCTGCTGCCGATGGCCAGTGCCAGAATTTTTCAACATTGTTCAATTGAAAACAATGAAACAACCAGTTTTCTGTCAACCACCTACCATCATAATATAAACACAGTTCTCCAGGGTATTTTTTGGGTTGTCCATCTGAATTTACATGACCAAATCGTAAGGCAAATTAATCAGTAACTGCTTGAAATAAATGTAAAGTTTTATTTTATTTTAGTTTTTTTTTAAAAGCTCCCCTCAAATTAACAGAACATGTGTTTTATGATCATACACATATTGCTATATGCTTACAATTTACTGCTGAAAGCGAAAAATCTTAGATGCTCTTTGTATTATTTTATAAAAATAATTTTTACAGAGTAGTTCACTGAAGAGATGCTATCTGTTTATAGTTTATAGCCCAGATTTGTGGAAAAAAAGGTCAACTTTCAGTAGACAAAAAAAAATGTGAGTTCAGCTTCTATTATGGAAAGACGACAGTTTCATCTGTCATATGACACCCACTTTTTGAATGTAGCTTATGAAATATGAAAGTTATGAAGAATATCACGAAGTGCGTTTTGGAACCACCGGTGGTCTCAAGGAGTTGAAGAGGTTAAAGGTTGCAGTTACTGTTGTCAATAATAAAAGCATGGTGTAATAATTGTAATAAAAGCATGTGTTAATAATTGTAGCTTATTGTAACAATATTATATTCTAAATTTTCAATCAATACCCAGTTTGTGTTTGCAGGATATATTTTATTATGATTTGAATTTGACAAATAGCTGATAATATAGTCTCATTCTGAGGAAAGAAAGGACGTCCTTTACATTTCTGCCATGCATTCGTCTTTTACTAGTATCAAAACAAATGGAAGTGGAAGGTGGAAAAGCAGACTCGAGCATGTGAATATGAGAGAGAGAGAGAGAGAGAGAGAGAGAGAGAAAGGGAGAGAGAGAGAGAGAGAGAGAGAGAGAGAGAGAGAGAGAGAGAGAGAGAGAGAGAGAGAGAGAGAGAGGAAGAATGTTACCTTAAGGTAAATCTATTTTCTTACACTGGGAAATAAAATTCATCACATGTGCTTAATTATGCAAGTATTAAATTATATTTTAATGATATAGTTAAATGTTAATATTAACTTTAACCTTCTAAAGGTAAAAGCACATGAGCTGGCTCTTACTGATGATACATTGCTCTTAGGCCTTATCTTCTACAGCCTTATGTCTCCTGTGTCTCTCACAGTCAGTGTCTAACCTGAGCTGGTCTGGAGCAGCGATGACCTCAAGGCACTGCAGGTTCCTGTGCTACACAGCTGACTGATCTCATCATGCAACTGCGCTGGGTAAATAGCGTGGAGGGAAAGAGAGCTGGGGGGCCATAAATTCACCAGCCAGTACAAAAGCCAACAAAATCACCTTCATTCAATATAGAGTTTCTCTCTTATTCCAAAACCTCTCAAAACCATTCAGTATAAGGGTTATTCAGAAATTAATGTACTGAGTTTGATTTTATCTGTAATAACAATAACAATTAAC